GACTTTACATTGCTAGACCCTTCTCATCCTTCATGTCTTCTGCAACCTAAGGTCTCACTTGTTACTCCCCCCCGCTTTTTTTTTTTTTTTTTGAGACACAATCTCAGTCTGTCGACCAGGCTGAAGTGCAGTGGCACAATCTTGGCTCACTGCAGCCTCTGCCTTTGGGTTCAAGGGATTCTCCTGCCTCAGCTTCCCTAGTAGCTGGGATTATAGGCCCCCACCACTATGCCTGGCTGATTTTTGTATTTGTAGTAGAGATGGGGTTTCACCATGTTGGCCAGGCCAGTCTCAAACTCCTGACCTCATGAGATCTGCCACCTTGGCCTCCCAAAGTGCTGGGATTACAGGTGTGAGCCACTGTGCCTGGCCTCACTTGTTACTCTCATCTGTGTACCAATCACACTTTTTTCTTCATGGACCAACTTTCTAATTTTACTTATTTATTTATGTATTTCTCTTCTCCATTGCACTTCGGGCTTTAAAGGCTTCTTTACCACTGTACACTTAACACTCAAGAACAATGTCTGTGTATATTCAGCCCTTATGGCAAGCAGATTGCCTTAATGGCCCCCAATTCAATGGCCTTTTCCTGTAATTTTGTAAGCCCCTCCCACTTTGTCTCTGGCTCACCATGTGACTGGCTATGGCCAATAAGATGTTAGCAGAGGTTTGAAAAGCACATGTGAGCTTCCTCTTACCTTCCCATACAACTGGGCTTGTTCTTTCTTGGCCTCCTGCCACTGCCATGAGAATACAGCCCACTAGTCTGCTGGCAAGATGAGGGATGGGAGAGGAATGTGGAGGAGATCTGAATCAGCCTAGCAGAGCACATCCAGAGCAGCTGACCCTCAGATGTATGAAGGAGCCCAACCAAGATCAGCAGTCTGACCTGCAGCTGAGACACATAAATAAGAAATCTGACAGCCAGGTGTGGTGGCTCACACCTGTAATCTTAGCACTTTGTTTTTTTAATTTTAATTTTTTTATAAAGATGGGGTTTCACCATGATGGCCAGGCTGGTCTTGAATTCCTGACCTCAGGTGATCCACCCACCTTGTTCCCAAATGCTAGGATTACAGGTGTGAGCCACCACACCTGGCAAATCTTAGACTTTGGCAGGCTGAGTCGGGAGGATCACTTGAGGCCAGGAGTTCAAGATCAGCCTGGCCAACATGGCAAAACCCTGTCTCTACTGAAAAATACAAAAATTATGAGAATTGCTTGAATCTGGGAGGTAGGGGTTGCAGTGAGCCAAGATTATACCACTGCACTCCAGCCTGGGTTGCAGAGTGAGACTCTGTCAAAAAACAAAAAACAAAAAAAAAACAATTAGCCAGGTATGGTGGCAGGCACCTGTAGATCCATCTACTGGGGAGGCTGAGGAGCAAGAATTGCTTGAGCCTGAGAGGCGGAGGTTGCAGTAAGCTGAGACCTCGCCACTGTACTCCAGCCTGGGTGACAGAGCAAGACTCTGTCTCAAAACACACACACACACACACACACACACATAAAAACAAAAACAAAAACAAAAAACCTGAGACCAGAAAAACCATAAGGCCAACCTACAGAATTATGCACAACAATAAATGTTTCTATTTTAGGTCACTATGTCTTAGTTCGTTTTATACTACTGTGACAGAATACCACAGACTAGGTAATTTATAAAGAGCTAAAATGTATCTCTCACAGTTCTGGAGGCTGGTAAGTTCCAGATCAAGGCAACAGCAGCTTTTTTTTCTTTTTCTTTTGGCAGCAGTAGCTTTATTGTCTTAAGGTCCAGTCTCTGCTTCTGAGATGGCGCCTAGAATCCACAGTGGAGGAACACTGTCCTCACATAGAGGAATGTGGAAGAGCAAAAATAGATGAATTCCCTCTGTCAAGCCCTTTTAAATTCAATCATTATTAATCCATCCAGGAGCGCCGAGCACTCAGAGCCTAAACACCTTCCAAAAAGCCCAACACCATTGTGGGGAAAGTGGATATGGCAGGGCAGAAGGGAGGTAAGCAGCCCAGGGACCATGTGCGAGGCCTTCAGAGTTCTACAGGGCCCTGGGCCATACACAGAGATGGCAGAGTGAGCTCTGGCCAAGCTGGCATGGCCAGTAAGGCATCCAGCACCAAGTACACAGACAAAGAGTGTGAAAAGCTGGCTGATGGAGGAGGACCCTGGGAAGACTGCCTATATGTCCCACAGGATTCTGGCCTTGGCAGTTCTCAGAGGAAAGGGCCAGCAGGTGGGTTTCCTTAGAGCCTGGGTTGGGAAGTGGGACATGCCTCTTTGGCACTCTCTGTGCTGTGTGACTATTTTTGGTTTTGATTTGAGACAGAATCTCAGTTTGTCACCCAGGCTGGAATGCAGTGGTGCAATCTTGGCTCACTGCAACCTCTGCCTCCCAGGTTCAAGTGATTCTCCTGCCTCAGCCTCCTGAGTAGCTGGAATTACAGGCACCCACCACCATGCTGAGCTAATTTTCGTATTTTTTATAGAGATGGAATTTTGCCATGTTGCCCAAACTGGTCTTAAACTCCTGAGCTTATGCAGTCTGCCCACCTCAGCCTCCCAAAGTGCCAAGATTACAGGCATGAGCCACCAGGCCTGGCCCTGTGTTACTGTTTATGTCCACCCCTTTCTCCTCAACAGCCTTAAGAAAACAGGGCCCATGTGGACCATGTTTGCAACTGTCTGGGCTCAGAACATGACACCCCAAACAAAGTATGGCACCTTGGCATGCAGAGTATTTTGAGCCTAAGGAGACTGAGAGGGCTGCAGAAGCAAGAAGTTCTCTCTGAACTTCTCCTACCCTCCTTTCTCCCATTCCCCTTTCTCTCTTGAAGTGGGTCAGAGAAATTAGAGCTCCTCTTCCTGGAAACAAACCATAAAAACTAGCAAGGTCACTCTCTGACCTCCTCCCTTCTCCCCTGAAGATCTTCTTGTGACAGGTGTTCTACCCCATACCCCGAGAGCAGGAGTATCATACAGAGACACGAAAGAATTGGAACCAACAAGCCTAGCTGAGCCCCTCCTAATCTTATTACTTTAAGGTCACACCCCCTTTTGTCTAATCATATTTCTATGTGACTATTCATCAAATCTTGGCATAAAAATACACAGATTTCCCTGGTCTTTGTTTTTGTTTTTGTTTTGAGACAGAGTCTTGTTCTATCACCCAGGCTGGAGTGCAGTGCAGTGGTGTGATCTCAGCTCTCCGCAACCTCCGCCTCCAGGGTTCAAGGGATTCTCCCACCTCAGCCTCCCGAGTCGCTGGGATTATAGATGTCCACCACCACACCTAGCTAATTTTGTATTTTTAGTAGAGACAAGGTTTCACTGTTTTGGTCAGGTTGGTCTCAAATTCCTGACCTCAAGTGATCCGCCTGCCTGGGCCTCCCAAAGTGCTGGAATTATAGGCGTGAGCCCCCACTTCTGGACTTCCCTGGCCTTGGGCCTTCATTCCAAAGGTTCCCATGTCACTAAAACTTTGGTTAAATAAATTTATGGGCCAGGTGTGGTAGCTCACACCTATAATTCCAACACCCTGGGAGTCCGAGGTGGGTGAATCGCCTGAAGTCAGGAGCTCAAGACCAGCCTGACCAACATGGTGAAATCCCATCTCTACTAAAAATACAAAAATTAGTGGGGCATGGTGGCACACACCTGTAGTCCTAGCTACTCAGGAGGTTGAGGCAGGAGAATCGCTTGAACCCAGGAGGCAGAGGTTGCGGTAAGGAGAGATAGTGCCATTGCACTCCAGTCTGGGTGACAGAGTGAGACTTCGTCCCAAAACAAAAAACAAAAACAAATAAATTTATGATGCTTTTCTCTCGTTAATGTCTTTTGTTATAGGCATGAATCTCGCAATGGGTGAGGCAAAGATACTTTTTCTCCTCTACACAACCTTGACACCTTATAGAACTTGAAATATCCTGGGGCACAGGAGGGCCCAGTGAAAATCTGGGGAAGGAATGTGTCCCACATCATACATGTGGACCCTGTACGATCAACCTGATAGACTGAGAGGCAGTTTCACATCAGTCCTCCACCCCAGAAAGGGACTCGCCCTGGCTGGTTTTAATAATGAGCTCCCTCTTGATGCTGCCCTTAAGTGTTTTGTTTTTTGTTTTTTGTTTTTTTTTTTTAAATTTTGTTATGTTTTTGTCTTTTTTTTTTTTTTTTTTTTTTTTGGAGACAGAGTCTTGCTCTGTTGCCCAGGCTGGAGTGCAATGGCACCATCTTGGCTCACTGCAACCTCTACCTCCCGGGTTCAAATGATTCTCTTGCCTCAGCCTCCCAGGTAGCTGGGACTACAGGTGCATGCCACCACATCTGGCTAATTTTTGTATTTTTAGTACAGACAGCGTTTTCCTATGTTGACCAGGCTGGTCTCAAACTCCTTACCTTGTGATTGAACCACCTCTGCCTCCCAAAATGCTGGGATTACAGGCGTGAGCCACCGTGCCCGGACGTTTATTCTTTCTTGTTATATTCATTCATTTATTCGCCTGTTTAGAAACAGGATCCTAGGCCGGGCGTGGTGGCTCAAGCCTGTAATCCCAGCACTTTGGGAAGCCGAGGGGGGTGGATCACGAGGTCACGAGATCGAGACTATCCTGGTCAACATGGTGAAACCCCGTCTCTACTAAAAATACAAAAAATTAGCTGGCCATGGTGGCGTGTGCCTGTAATCCCAGCTACTCAGGAGGCTGAAGCAGGAGAATCGCCTGAACCCAGGAGGCGGAGGTTTTGGTGAGCCGAGATCGCGTCATTGCACTCCAGCCTGGGTAACAAGAGCGAAACTCCGTCTCAAAAAAAGAAAAAGAAAGAAAGAAACAGGATCCAGGATCCTGCTGTTTTGCCTAGGCTGGAGTGTAGTGGTTGTTCACAGGCCTGATCACAGCGCTCAGCAAGTCCTGGGGTCAAGCGATTCCCCCGCCCTTCCCACTCCCTCCGGTGTGGCTGGGACTACAGGCGCGCGACACTGCAACGGCTTGCCCTTAGTTTTGATTTGACTTCCCTCACTTTGGAAGTGAGCAGAGGGGCCAGGGAGGGTGGCGGGCGGCGGGGAGGTAGGTTGAGGAAGGGCAGGTATCAGCAGTTTGCTCCATCCGGCCTTGAAAATTCAGGGGCTCGAGGATCTGCTTTTTGCAAATCAGCCACCTGGGGGAGACAGAGTAGCTGACCCTTGGCGGGGAGCAGATCAGAGCCCCCAGTCCAGCCGACTGGTTTGAAAAATCTATCCCAGTGGCTCTTAACTTGGCCCGTCCTCCCAGCTTCTTTCTCTACAGTGCCTGCCGGAGGCAGACCTCTGCTCTCAGTAGAGGTAAGAACAAAGAACAGGTGTCTGCCGCAGAGGCCCTGTCCCCCACTGCTTGGGCTGTGCTGGCTGCGGGTGCAGGGTGCCATGTGGCCACCAGAGAGCACCCTTTGCCAGACACGGGAAAAAGCTCTCGCACCTGGGCTGCCCCTCTTTCATCTTCCCACTGTCCCTAGGCTCCCGGGTCTGGCCCGGGGTTCTCCAGTTCAGTGGCCAGCACCCCCACATCCTTTCCCCTGATCCCAAAGGCAAGCACCACGCGAGGTCAGAGAGGGAGTATTGAGAAGAGACATGCATTTAAATTTGAATTTCAGATAAATAAATAGTACTTTTTTTTCTAGGCCATCTTTTGTGGAAAGGCATACCTTTTTTTTAAGCATATGCCCAGCGCAATAATTTTGCTAAATCTGGCAACCCTATTTTGGAATAGGACCCTTACATTGGGATTCCAGTCTCACTTTTGTTTATTATTTATTTATTATAAAGATGGGGTTTCACCATTTTGGTCAGGCTGGTCTTGAACTCCCAACCTCAGGTGATCCATCTGCCTTGGCCCCCGAAGTGCTTGGATTACAGGCGTGAGCCACCATGCCTGGCCTCCAGCCTCACTTTTGATGAAAATTCTCTACTTGACCAAGCTCTCTAATCAGGCACTTCTGAGCTTTTTTCCAACTAGGCTTGACTTTTGGTCTTCTGTGTTATCTCTGCAGCCTCAAATTCCTAGGCTCAAGGGATCCTCCCACCTCAGCCTCCCAAGTAGGCAGAACCAAGGTGCACATTACTACACCCAGCTAGTGTAAAAAATAATTTTTTTTTTTTTTTTTGGTGGAGCTGGGAGTCTCAGCCCAAGCTGGTTTTGAACTCCTGGCCTCAAATGATCCTCCCACTTTGGCCATGGTGTCTCACTTGCATTATCCAATTTTTACAAGAATCCTAAGTCAGTTGAGCAAGAACTCCCCACTCTTGATATCTGGTCACTTTTTTTTTTTTTTTTGAGACAAAGTTTCCCTTCTGTTGCCGAGGCTGGAGTACAATGGCACAATCTCTCGGCTCACTGCAACCTCTGCCTCTCAGGTTCAAGTGATTCTCCTGCCTCAGCCTCCTCAGTAGCTATGATTATAGGTGTGGGCCACCACACGTGGCTAATTTTTTTTTTTTGAGATGGAGTTTTTATTCTTGTTGCCCAGGCTGGAGTGCAATGGTGCAATCTCAGCTTGCCACAACCTCCACCTCCCAGGTTCAAGCTGTTCTCCTGCTTCAGCCTTCCCGAATAGCGGGGATTATAGGCATGTGCCACCATGCCTGGCTAATTTTTTATATTTTTAGTAGAGACAGGGTTTCTCCATGTTGGTCAGGCTGGTCTCGAACTCCTGACCTCAGGTAATCTGCCTGCCTCAGCCTCCAAAGTGCTGAGATTACAGGACTGAGCTACCGTGCCTAACCTAATTTTTTTGTATTTTTAGTAGAGACAGGGTTTCACCATGTTGGCCAGGCTGGTCTTGAACTCCTGACCTCAGGTGATCTGCCTGCCTCAGCCTCTCAAAGCACTGGGATTACAGGTGTGGGCCACCGTGCTGGCCCTGATCACTTTTATTTAAGGAAGTAAATTCTTTTAAATTTTCACTCCCAGAGAGACTCTAAAATAAGACAAGCAATCATGCCATAACTACCTGCTTTGAGCTATGCATTCGTCTCTTGATGAATGGCTTGCTATTGCCATAAGTAGCTATAAAAAAATTAGCCTAATAATGCTACCCTGGGAATTGCTACCCATGGCCTATAGCTTAACAACCTATAGCCAATCACTAATCAATGCTATTTCTGTCAACCAATGAGAATTCCTGACAAACAACTTTTTGTTTGTTTGTTTGTTTTGAGATGGAGGCTCTCTCTGTTGCCCAGGCTGGAGTGCAATGGCGCAATCTTGGCTCACTGCAACCTCCACCTCCTGGGTTCAAGCCATTCTCCTGCCTCAGACTCCCCAGTAGCTGGGACTATAGGATTACGCCACCACGCCCAGCTAATTTTTGTATTTTTAGTAGAGACAAGGTTTCAGGATGGTCTCCATCTCTTCACCTCATGATCTTCCTTGGCCTCCCAAAGTGTTGGGATTACAGGTGTGAGCCACCACACCCAGTCAATAAACAACTTTGCATCAGCCTGCTCCCTAGCCCTTTAAAAACCTGCTTGTAACAAAGGCCAAACCAAGCTCACATCCAGGGGTTACTTGGGTCTGAGTCTTCCAGGCAGCTGTCCTCAGTTTGGCTCAAGTAAACTCTTTATATTTTGTGACTCAGCCTCTTCCTTTTAGATTGACAATATCTAACCAGGTTCTTCATTCTCCACCACACTCCAGGTAATGTCTGATCACCCTTCCTACCTTCAACAAGAATCCTGTCAGGTCAGTTTCATCAGGATATCCCCTTCCCCCATGTTTCCTCTTAGTAATTTCCATGCACACACCCACCTCTGCCCCTTGGCTGCTCCCTGGCTATATACTCCTACTTGCCCATGCTGTGTTTGGAGTTGAGCTCAATCTCCCAATCTCTCCCCACCTGTAGCAACCCATTGCAATGGTTTCTGTAGCCATCTTCATAGGCTCACCTTTAATAAAGCTTGCCTAACTATCTTCAATGAGTGCCATGAAGCATTTTTCCTTTAACATGTTTACTAACTGAGTGGCAGGAGTGGTCATCTTCTTTTCTGAGCCTCAGCTCAGAAATGGGTGAAGATACTTTTTGAAACTGCCTTTGCAAAATTATGGCTGAGACAGTGAAAGAGATCTAACTTAACTGACCCTATCTTGCTTCTAACCTCCAAGCTCTCCTTATTCATTCTTGGGTCTAGGCCGAACTAACTTTGGGAGAAACGTAGTTATAGTTTAAACAAAGACTACAGCCTGGCCACCATGATGAAACCCCATCTCTACTAAAATTACAAAAAAATTAGCTGGGCATGGTGGCATGTGCCTGTAGTCCCAGCTACTCGGGAGGCTGAGGCACGAGAAGTGCTTGAACCCAGGCGGTGGAGGAGGTTGCAGTGAGCCAAGATTGCGCCATTGCACTCCAGACTGGGTGAGTGAGACTCCATCTCAGAAACAAACAAAAAACAAAGGCGGTAACAGCTCTTTTCCAAAGCAGACTTTCTCATTCCTGGGGACTGGATTGCCTTTGTAGGGCTAACATTAACCACAAGATTAGAAATTATGGTTTAGGAGTCATGCAGCTGGAGGTATAAAATTCCGACCCTCCCTAAACTGCTCCTGAGATCAGTGCTTGGGATATTTTGCAGACCCTGCACTTGATGGATCAGCTGGCCCCACCCAGATCAATAAACTGGCTCATCTGACCTTGCGGCATCCACCCAGGAACTTACCAAGCACAAGAAGACAGTTTTGATGTGATTCACCTCTGATCAATCAGCACTTCTGGTTCACTGGCTTCCCCCGACCCACCAAGTTATCCTTAAAAACTCTGCTCCCCTCAGTGCTTGGGTAATAATAAAACTCCAGTCTCCCGCACCCACTCTGAATAAACTACTCTTTCTCATTGCAGTTCCCCTGTCTTGATGAATTAGCTCTGTCCACGCCTGGGCAAGGTGAAGCCCTTGAGTGGTTACACTTCCACAAGGTAGCCAGAAGTCTATTGTGCTCAGATGAAGGCTCAACAAACCTTAGCTGGTTTTCTCTTCATTTATTAGAAGCTACTGGTTCTTGACTTTTTTTTTCCTTGCTCTTTGCAGTGGTGTGATCTCTGTTCACTGCAACCTCTGCCTCCTGGGTTCAAGCGATTCTCCTGCCTCAGTCTCCCCCGTAGCTAGAACCACAGGCACACACCACTGTGCCTGGCTAATTTTTTGTATTTTAGTAGAGACGGGGTTTTGCCATGTTGGCCAGACTTGTTTCAAACTTCTGACCTCAAGTGATCTGCCGGCCTCGGACTCCCAAAGCGCTGGGATTACAGGTGTGAGCCACCGCGCCCAGCCTGGTTCTCCACTTCAGAGATGCAATCTCTTCTAGAACCAAAGCTGACCATGAATAGGAGACTGGGAGACTGAAGTCCAATCCCCACAGAACTGGGAGAGGCAAGGCAGGAGGCTGACCGAGGGAGTGAGTGCACACCTACACTGGCTTCCCCAACGGGCATGTAGTCTGTATGAACATCACTCTACTCTTCCACTGTGTTTATCAATGCGACTTTACTATTATAGGAAACTCTTGGCAAGAAGGATGAAAGTTGCAAATGACTTTATTCATTCCAGGAACTTTCTGAAAGACTCCTTAAAATCTAAATGCACCCCCCTCTCCCGGGACATTTGGCGACATCTGAGGTTGTCAGACTGGGATGGTGCTGGTGGTGCTACCCACATCTACTGAGTAGAGGCCAGGGATGCTGTTAAATACCCCGCAATGCACAGGAGAGCACCCCTCGCCCCACGAAGGATTATTTAGCCCCAAATGTCAAAAGGGCTGATATGGAAAAGTCCTGATTTACATGAACATCAAAGTGTTTGATTATTCACGTTTGTTTTTTTGAGAAGAAGTCTCACTCTGTTGCCCAGGTTGGAGCGCAATGGCATGATATCAGCTTGATGTAAGCGCCGCCTCTCAGGTTCAAGTGATTCTCATGCTTCAGCCTCCCAAATAGCTGGGATTACAGGCATGTGTCACCATGCCCAGCTAATTTTTGTATTTTTAGTAGAGACGGGGTTTCTCCATGTTGGCCAGGCTGGTCTCAAACTCCCGACCTCAAGTGATCTGCCCATCTCGTCCTCCCAAAGTGTTGGAATTATTATAGGCATGAGCTACCATTCCCAGCCAGTGTTCAATGATTAAATAGGAAACATGAAAAGAGTTCATTCCCCAAGACTCTTCAACATCCTTGCCTCTAAACCCTTGCCTTGATGTATTCATTAATCTGAACTATTGTACGATGCTCCTCATCCAAATTTAATGAAGTCCCTGCGTTGAAATGCCCACCTTAAACCAGACTGCCTTCTCTCTGCCAGAAGCTCCTAAGACTTTGTCCAGGTAATGTTCTGCCTCACCTCAGGGAGAACAAATCTAGGCTTGTTTTAAAGATTATTTAGTGCTAATTTCAAGGAGCCCATCACTTACAGGCTGTTTCCTGCATCACCTTGTCAGAAGGTGTGCTGCTCACCAGTCTCCATCTCTGCCTGGGAGGGTGGGGAGTGAACCCCATGTCTCCAGCAACAGGCCCAGCCCTCCCAGAATAGGCACCTTCCCCCTCACCACAGCCTCCCCTCTATTCCTCAGGCCAGCCCAGGCATGCAGACTTCAGACTTACCTAGATCAAGACTCAAAAACAGGAGACCTGGCTTCTGACTTTCTAGTTAACCCACGGGGAGACCCTTCACAAAATCCATTTCCCCATCTCTAAAAAAAAATTAAATAGGCCAGATGCAGTGGCTCACATTTGTAATCCCAGCACTCTGGGAGGCCGAGGTGGGTGGATTGCTGGAGCCCAGGAGTTCAAGACCAGCCTAGGCAACATAGGGAGACCCTGTCTCTACAAAAAATTTTTAGAAATTAGCCAAGTGTGGTGGCATGTGCCTGTGGTGCCAGCTACTTAAAAACTGAGGTGGGAGAATCACTTGAGCCCAGGAGTCTGAGGCTGCAGTGAGCCATGTTTGCACCTACACTTCAGCCTAAGCTACAGAATGAGACCCTAACACAAGAAAAAAAAAATAATTGTGATGGTTAATACTGAGTGTAAACTTGATTGGTAGATACAAACTATTGATCCTGGGTGTGTCTCTGGGGGTGTTACCAAAAGAGATTAACATTTGAGTCGGTGGACTGGGGAAGGCAGATCCACTCTTAATCTGGTGGGCACAAGCTAAGCAGCTGCCAGCAAATAAAAGCAGGCAGAAAAACATGAAAAGGAGAGACTGGCCTAGCCTCCCTGTCTACATCTTTCTCCTGTGCTGGGTGCTTCCCGTCCTCAAACATCGGACTCCAATGTCAGGTTTCGGTTTTGGGACTCGGACTAGCTATCCTTGCTCCTCGGCATGCAGACAGCCTGTTGTGGGACCTTGTGATCATGTAAGTTAATACTTAACTCCCATGTGTATGCATCCTATTAGTTCTGTACCTTTAGAGAACCCTGACTAAAACAATAATAATAATTGAAAAACAGCGAGGGAGACCAGGCAAGGTGGCTCATGCCTGTAATCCCAGTCCTTTGGGAAGCTGAGGCGGGTGGATCATGAAGTCAGGAGATTGAAGCCATCCTGGCCAACATGGTGAAACCCTGTCTCTAATTAGAAATACAAAAATTAGGAATAGGAACAGCTCCAGCATGCAGCTCCCAGCTAGAGTGATACAGAGGATGGGTGATCTCTGCATTTGCAACTGAAGTACCTGGTTCATCTCATTGGAACTGGTTAGACAGTGGGTGCAGTGCAGACCAAGGAGGGTGAGCCGAAGCAGGGTGGGGCTGTCACCTTACCCTAGAAGTGCCAGGGGCCGGATAACTCCCTCTCCTAACCAAGGGAAGCCATTAGGGACTTTTCCTGGCACGCTGGCACTCTGGCTCAGATACTGTGCTTTTCCCATGGTCTTCACAACCTGCAGACCAGGAGATTCCCTCCAGTGCCTGAGTTTCCAGTACAAAACTTGGTGGCCATTTGGGAAGACACTAAGCTAGCTGCAGCAGTTTTTTTTTTTTTATAACCCAGTGGTGCGTGGAATGCCAGTGAGACAGAACCGCTCATTCTCCTGAAAAGGGGGGCTGAAGCTAGGAAGCCAAGTAATCTGGCTCAGCGGGTCCCACCCCATGAAGACCAGCAAGCTAAGATCCACTGGCTTGAAATTCTTGCAAAGAGCACAGCAGTCTGAGCTTGACCTGCGACGTTCGAGCTTGGTGGGGGAAGGGGCATTCACAATTGCTGAGGCTCAGGCAGGTGGTTTTAACCTTGTCTATGTAAAAAAAGTAACAGAGAGGCTGGGCACGGTGGCTCACACCTATAATCCCAGCACTTTGGGAGGCCGAGGCGGGTGGATCACAAGGTCAAGAGATCGAGACCATCCTGGTCAACAAGGTGAAACCCCATCTCTACTAAAAATACAAAAACTAGCTGGGCATGGTGGCTCACGCCTGTAGTCCCAGCTACTTGGGAGGCTGAGGCAGGAGAATTGCTTGAACCCGGAAGCTGGAGGTTGAGGTGAGCCGAGATCATGCCATTGCACTCCAGTCTGGCTAACAACAGCGAAACTCTGTCTCAAAAAAAAAAAAAAGTAACAGGGAAATTTACACAGTGAGCTGCCCACACCAGCTCAGCAAGGCCACTGCAGGCAGACAATGTCACTAGACTCCCTCCTTGCTGGGCAGGGCATCTTTGAAAAAAGGCAGCAGCCCTTGAGGGATTTATATATAAAGCCCTCACCTTCCTGGGACAGAGTACCTTGGAAAAGGGGTGGTTGTGGGTATAGCTTTAGTAGACTTAAACATACCTGCCTGGCAGCTCTGAAGGGAGCAACAGATCTCCCAGCACAGCACTCAAGCTCTGATAAGGGACTGACTGCCTCCTCAAGTGGTTCCCTGACCCCCATGTATCCTGATTGGGAGACACCTCCCAGTAGGGGCTGATAGATACCTCATGCAGGAGAGCGCTAGTTGACGTCTAGTGGGTGTCAGTGACTACAGGAAGGAACAGGCGGCAGTCTTTGCTGTTCTGCAGCCCCCACTGGTGATTCCCAGGCAAGCAGGGTCTGGAGTACACCTCCAGCAAACTCCAGCAGACCTGCAGCAGAGGAGCCTGACTGTTAGAAGGAAAACTAACAGAAAGAGTTTCAACATCAACAGAAAGGATGTCCACTCAGAGACCCCATCCAAAGGTCACATCTTCAAACACCAAAGGTAGATAAATTAACAAAGATGGGAAGAAACCAGTGCAAAAAGGCTGAAAACTCCAAAAACCAGAAAGCCTCTTCTCAAGGAATCACAACTTTTTACCAGCAAGGGAACAAAACTGGATGGAGAATGAGTTTGACAAATTGACAGAAGCAGGCTTCAGAAGGTGGATAATAACAAACTTCTCCAAGTTAAATGAGCATGTTCTAACAGAATGCAAGGAAGCTAAGAACCTTGAAAAAAGGTTAGACGAAATGTTAACTAGAATAACCAGGGTAGAGAAGGACATAAACGACTTGTTGGAGCTGAAAAACACAGCACAAGAACTTCGTGAAGCATACAAGTTTCAATAGCCAAATCGATCAAGCGGGAGAAAGGATATCAGAGATCGAAGATCAATTCAATGAAATAAAGCAAGAAGGCAAGATAAAAGAAAAAAGAGTAAAAAGAAATGAACAAAACCTCCAAGAAATATGGGATTATGTGAAAAGACCAAATCTACATTTTATTGGTGTACCTGAAAGTGACAGGGAGAATGAAATCAAGTTGGAAGACACTCTTCAGGATATTGTCCAGAACTTCCCCAGCCTAGCAAGGAGGCCAACATTCAAATTCAGGAAATGTAGAGAACACTGCCAAGATACTCCTTGAGAAGAGCAACCCCAAGACACATAATTGTCAGATTCACCAGGGTTGAAATGAAGGAAAAAATGCAAAGGGCAGCCAGAGGGAGAGGTC